AGTCCTTTCAGATGTTGTGAAAGATGAGAAACGAACAGAAGAACAATTTTAAAAAACTGCAGATTCTGGACAGCTGAAAGAAGACTTGAAGGTGCGAGAGAAACTCAGTACTTCTGGCTGCATCTGTGGGGAGAGAAACAGTTTACATAGATTTTACTTCAAAGATTACATTGGGATTGATATACAAGGTGAACTCTTTTACAGCAGAAACTACTTCAAATGAGTATCAGTGAGTAAAGAGGAAAGATACCAGTCAGCAATTCTTCAAGGCCTATATAGATCCAACAGGTCAATTAGCTTACTCTCAGCTCAGGAGACCTCAGAAACGCCATACACTGTCCACACCGGAGTTTTTCCAGTACAGTGGGATCAACATTCATGCCTTAACTAACACCACCATAAACAAAAATTAATTGGTCGGTCCCTCATCTGGTTGCTGCTTGTGGAATCTTACTTGCACAAACTGGCGTCACTAAACAACAACAACTTGTATTTTAAAAGCACAATTAACACAATAATACATAGACAGGTGAATCAGAGGAGTTTCAGAAGCAACATTTGACAGTCACATCAAATGACGTGATGGCCAACTCCTCAATTGGAAAGGCAGATTGTAACAAGCAACATTAATCTGGGGAGAGGTGGAGAGTATTTGAGAGGCAAATTCAGTTCCATGTGCAGACAAGGGACTGTTTTTGAGGAGGTGCAATGATGCTACATTTAAAAGTGAGAGGACAATACCAGGAGAGAAAGACAGAACTGTAAAAAAAGCAAAGAAAATGCTAGAAAAAATCAGCTGGTCTGGTAGTATCTCAGGAGAGACAAACAGTCAACGTTTTAATTCCATTGTGAATTTCTGCAGCATTTTCTTGTTTGTTTCAGATTTACAACATCAACAGTATTTTGCTTATAGAACTCTTAACAATATTAGTGAACATGGGGAAATTAGACAATCTGCAGTTCAGTGAAAATAGGGTCAATGGTGCAGGAAGTGGGTCTCATAGAGAAGACAGGTTCCAACAGGGGATGAAAGGAAATAGAAGAGAAGTTGCAGAAAGATGTGATACGGGGCTCGGAGAGTAAAGAATTTTAGA